TTTCATTAATTTTTTTAATATGTATATGAAAGCTTTCGAATTGTCGTCATTTTGTCCATTTGCTTGTCAGTTTTCTTTTCAGAAAGCATAATCATATCATATTCTATAGTGAAATTTTTGTATTTTATATGTGATGTCAATGCGTACCTATAGTTTTCAGTTCACAACTACGTCCTCCTCTTTGCAAATGTTTGGAGAAAGTAATGTGTGTCATAATTATACAGTCATACCAAAATCACTAAAATTACCTTATTTACTTAATTGAATAAACTTATAAAACATGAATAGATTTGAGGTTTTAATAATTTAAAATTTCTACTTAAATTTAATTTATTATGTATGTACATATGTATAAGTGGGCTTTAAATCCATTTACTGCTCTAAATTTATAAACAATAAAGATCAAAAAACAAAAAAAAAATTTTTTTTTATTAAAAAATTTTAATAAAAATTTTGATAAAGTTTTTGCTCATTGCAATGTGAAATAAAATAAATGAATAATTTTCATTTTTATACCCCATATTTTATTTTAATTAAAATTTAAGTTAAAATAATATAAAATTATATACATATATATATATATATATATATATGAAATGTTGCGTGCACACGCGATTTATATAGTAAAATTAAAAAAAAAAAGAATAAAGAAAAATTTCTTTTCTCTATGTTTTTTGTCATGCAGACAATGGCATATTTGTTGCATAATGCTATATTTTCAGTTTGTTAATGTATATTTATGTATATATATATTATGTATATAATAAACACTTCTTACAATTTTATATTAACTCTTAAGAAAGCAATAGAGGGGTAGTTGAATCCCTATGATCATATTTTGAATTTTTACCTGATTTATATGACTTTAAACACATAAATTCCTTAAAATATCATTTAATTTAATAATTAAGTACGTTATATAGTTTTATTTTGATATTTTTACAAAAATATGTTTGGGATTTATATGACCACATTTTCTCTAAAATGTGTCCAAGTTAGTTTGCTCCTTTAAGGGTTAATATCTTATAAAAAATTAGTTTAATTCATAATCATTTCAATTATTTAAAAAATTTGTGTTTAAATTTAAATTAATTAATTATAAAATTCAATTAAAAAAATATAAAAACTTAGAGAATATCTCAAAACATATGTGTAATAAGAGACAAAAAAAAACCAACAAAAAGAGTGTAGTATAAGAAAACCTCAATAATTAATTGATAATTGACTTATAACACAGAGATTATTAAGAATGGGTGCGTTTGAACGCAATAATACCAAGAGTTAAATTGTGTACAAAAAAAAAATAAATAAAAGGAAATAAAAAAAAAAATTAAAAAAATTTAAAAAGAAAAACTTACATAAATTGCGTAAGACATGCCTACAATTATAGAATTATAAAAAAAAATAAAAATAGAAATTTTATGTATAACACATGTACCTAGAGTTCTTGCTTTTTATTGTTAATTTATATTTAATATTGATGACTTAAATATAAATAAGTAGCGGCAAAATATAAAACGGGGTACACATATGTGTAATACGAAAATTTATATTATTTTTGTAATGTGGACACCCAGTGGATAAGGATTTTTTAATAAGATTTTCTTATAATAAGTTTTCTATATATTATTTTCTTTTCATATATATATTTTACACTTAAGTTATATATAATATCTAATATATACGATGGAGGTATATGTGATCTATATATATATAGGATTAGTGAACATGTCACGCACATTAAAATATAAAAACAATTATTTTCTGTATTATATCGCGTATAGCCATAATATAATTCTCATATTACCTAATGCATATATATATATATATATATATATATATATATATATATATATATATATATATAATATAATTTATTAACGGTAAAATGAACAAATCCAATTTTATTTTACAATACTCTTATCACTATTTATATTATATTTACATTTTGTATTATTATAAATGGCACACATATTATATAAAATATCAACAGTTTATTATTAGGTGGCAACTGTTATACATATTATAACTTATAAGGTGTGAATTTTTTTCTCTAATTTTATGTGCTTTTTTTTTTTTGTGTTTTTAAAATGAAAATTTTTTTTGTATTTTTATTTTTTTTAGGTCAATACCATCATCATCAATATATAACAATTATTTTATGAAAAAATTGAAAAAAATTATTATTATACAGAAGCACCAAAAACGAACAACAAAATCATTAAATTTTAGTGGTAGTATATGTAGCTTTCAAAAGAATCAGTAAAGAAATATAAAAATTATTACATGGAAAAATATTTTAAACATAATTTTTTTTTTTCAAAAATAAAGAATTTGGAAATAAAACTATAATGGAATATTTGATGGCTTCATTTATAATACGGTCAAATAATGCCCCCGGTATACTTGTATAACTAAAAATTTTTTTTGTAAATTATATAATTCTTGTTACATAAATTATGAACCATGTACAAACATATATATATATATATATGTCGTGTAATTTTTGTAGCCCAATTTATATTATTGGGAAAAACGAAAATCGGATATGGAAATCGATATAGCATTATATATACGTTTATCTGTGTATACAATTATATTTTTTTCAGGAAAAAAAAAACAGGAAAATTGGGGGAAATCATATGAATGCTATACGTTTAAATTCATAAATGTTATATATTTGTGCACGTATTAATATTAAATGTATTAAAATTAAGTGAAAAATCGTGTTAACAAGTCATATGTTTATATATATAGTTACATAAATTCTATATTGAAATTTAGGATGCAAAGGAAAGTGTTCCCTAATTTTCCTTGATTAGATTATGGCACCTAAATAAATATGATTCTGTTTAAAATCGTAAATTTACGCAGCACAGCAAAACAATTCCATACTACGAATTTCATACTTGAAATCGATATTAACCTGCCGGACAATAGAGTCGAACAATTACTTTAAAAAAATGATATAAATTAATTGCATATCATGTACATATCATCTTTCAATATTATACAGTAATCCTTCATACTATACTGCATATTTCCACTCTCAAATGCAAACTATATACGAGTACACCATAGCACAGTGTAGTGCAAAAGAGGGCTTTAAGAGCAAACGTGTGTTACAATTTTCTTCACGGCCATATCACTTATTAACAGGGCTGTCATTTTATTTTTTTGGATTCGGAACAGAAATATTTGAAAAAGGTAGCTATTTTCAGAAAAGGAGCCAATTCCTATATCCAATTTCATAAAAACACAATTTACAATACTTGGTTCCTAGCTTTTCGCATCAATATTTTTTTAAATAATTCTTTTGAATTTAAAATTGCTGCTTACCATTTCAACATAAAACAAAGGAGCTTCTCCATTTAGTATTAATCAAATTAACAGAAGAAAATACCGTCTCTGCTGCCGCACGATGCGCTAAACTGCGGGCAGCTTCGAATAATTTTTTTAAAATAAATTTTAGTGTGACTCAGGAAAAAAGAAAATCTGAGCCAAAATGCAAAAGGAGGAACAGGACGCAAATTTTCAAATCGCAGTCAAATAGCTCCGATCGAAGCCAAACGACAGCCTTGCTTATTAACCAGTAGCGTTTTTTATTTTAATATTTCAAGTCAGTTTATTATCTGAGCTCAACGCGAAGAGATATTCAACTAAACTAAGTTTGTCTTTGTTTTTCCTTTTTATGAATGATACCACGAGGCTTTTGCTTCAATTAATATTTAGTTCGATTCTTCCTATTCCAATTTACCATAATTCTTCCTATTTACTATAAATTGATCTTGCTTTTGTTTTTACATAAGATAAAATCAAAAACGGGAACGTGAAAAATACAACAAAAAATGTAAAAAAGAAAATGTACTAAAGCAAAATTATGCTTTTTTTCCGATTACGATTAACTAGGGGCAATAATAGATGAAAATATTAAAGTATGCTAAGTGTAATTACAATATAAGCAAGTAGTAAACATCCTCTGAAATTTTATACTATTATAGTTTAACAAAAGTAGTTATAAATACAAGTGTCTATTATATTATATGTTATGTTATGTAGTAAAAGTAGTTATAAATACAAGTGTCTATTATGTTATACAGCTATCTATAAATAAAATAATGGCGTATATTGAACTATTATTAAAAAATTAAATGCTTAATCATAATTTCATCAATATAATAAAATAATTTACTTGAATATTTACCTATATATATATATATATATATTTATGCAATTTGTTATATTTATATATATACCTACTGTGTAATATTGCATGAGTACTTGTTTAACAAAAAGAAGTCAAAAAATATTATGTATAATACTTAAGATAAAAAATCTTCAATAATAACATTTTTGTAAAACTGTGATTTCTAAGAATTTTGTAAAATATTTTTTAACTTTCATTTTACTATAGAAAATCTTCAAACCCATTACTAATGTTGATTTCGGCTTTTAATAAATAGCTGTAATTTATTAACTAACTACAATATAATAGTTGATTGTATGTGTATAACAAGTAATTTTGGTTTTCTTGTTTTGTGAATTAAATAGTCAATGTTGTAATGGAAGTGTTCATCAAAATAATTTTTTTATTAAAATATTCTTATTATACCTTCTTATTGAATACTGGCGGGCTAATGAGGATATCAAGTAAATGTGATAATTTAGTAAGTTTTATTTTAAAGGTTATATTATTCAATTAAGCTCCTAACAGTGAATGGATAAGTTTTTTGAAGAAAATTACTATATTATTTAAAATCAAGGTGTAAACACATTAGAGAAATCATTCAAGAACTTAGTTATTAAAATTATTTGGTTTTACAAGTTGGTACGCAAATATTTATGAATAAATTTGGTAATACAATCCGAATCAATTATCTTTTCGGAATCATGGGCTCTATTTCGAATTTTTTATTCTAAAGTTCAATTGGTTTTTTTTTAATAAAATCTAAAAGGACACCATGAACTTCAATTAAAAAGTTCTCTATTAAATACAATAGTTTTAGTTATTTTTTAACAATTTTTTTCTTTATTGGAATATTTTACAAGAATTTCGACATAATTTTGTGATATTAAAAGGTTCTCAAAAAAAAGGATAGAGAACCTAAAATGAAAAACTCAAATTTTTGTTTTTAAATTCAAATTTAAAAATAAGAAATTAAAAAACTTTACAAAATTATTGTGAAGAATAAGCTCTAATCCAATTGATGAAATGTGATACTTTAACATAAGCATCTGGATTTTGTGAACCACAACCTTCCAAAACGAAACTTGCAACACCAACTAATTTACCATTGTGAACAGCTGGACCACCGGAATCACCCATACATGCACCATTTTGTACTGGACTAACAAAACAGATAACTTCTGGTCGATTTAATCCTGCTAAACGTCCACATTCAGCTTGACTAATTGATCTGACCCAATTGTATTTTAAAGTTTGTGAAATATCTTTGTTATTGCCTTCTTTTCCCCATCCAGAAATAACAACTGGAACATTTGGTGCTGTATCAGCAGTTTCCAATTGAATTGGTTTAATACCATTACCTAATGGCAATGGTTCAGTTAATTCAAGTAAAGCTAAATCATTAAGGAAATTTCCATATTGTTGATGAACTATAATTCTTTTAACTCTACGATTTACACCACCACGTCTTAAAACAGTGCTACCAGCTTGTACATTGAATTCATGAGCTGGATTTCTATATAAATTCATATTTATCGATTTTATAATTATATATAAAATATTGAATAATAAAGATAAAAAACAACTTACGGTGGTCTACCTTCAGCATCTGTAACACAATGAGCAGCAGTAAGAATCCATTTAGCATTTAAAATTGATCCACCACAAGTATGATATCCGTTTCTTTGCAATGAAATTTGGTATGGGAAGGCTGATTCAGGTGCATGAGAGCCACCAACAATTCTACCTTTACTAGCGCTTGCATATGCAATGCTAACGAGAATAATTGCCAAAGTGCAGATAAATTTCATCATTTTTGAGAACTTTTAGTTTTCAATTCCTGAAACGAATTATGATTTTCAACTTGAATTATTAAGTCTTTTATAGTCAGAAGTTGTTTACGAATCGTTTTTAATAATATAATTTGTTTGTAACATGTATTTTTTTAATATTTGTTTAATTTTGCGGGAGCATGTCAGTCAGATTTCTTTTAAATATGTTGCATTTTTATTATTTTGTGTATTGATTGATATTAAATGCAAATATTTGTGTGTCAAACATCTGTTTTATAATAAATGGCAACTAACATATTATGTGTAATGTCTATATGTTCTACACGTTTGGCTGTGAGGTTACATCATTTTGTTTAATTTGATTGGTTTTTGCTAATTTGTTTAACAATTGTTTTAAGTAAGAATTGGTTCGCGAATAAAAATTTGTTAATTCCGTACTGAATGTATTCAAATTTCATACAGCCTACATTATTTCATGCGCTTCTTTTTTCAATTAATATTCTTATATTAAATTTTCTCATACAAGTCAAGAGTTGCTATTTTGCCTACAGCCGACTACTGCGTTTCAAAGATACCTCATATCGGGAAATGTGATATGAAATTTTCAAATCATATTTCTAATGCAGTTGTTAGGACGCGTTTTTCACTGATTTCATTAATTTATATTAGTTCTTGAATCGCTTAAGTCTTTTATACATAAAAGATCTACGTCGCGAACATTTTATATTCCCAAATATGTTGTCATCGATTTTAGAGCTTCCGATGCACCTTTCCGTCTTTTGAATGTTCATTTAATAAAAAAGAAAAAACTTCTTTATCATGCCATGTACAGGACAATCCATCTTTAAATTATATTGGAAACAAATAAAAAAGTGTTTTTAGGATTTCTGAAATTCATTACTGAATTTTAAAGTAATGGAGAAAATCTGAATAATCTCCGACAATAATTTTTGAATATAATTGCATAATTTAAAAATTCAAATGCATAAACAAACAATTTCATGTAATTGCTTTATCCTAAACAGCTGTATCAATAATTTAGTTGCATTTTCATTTAGTTTTAAATATGATTGAAATTATAAAAAGGGTTAATATACTATTAAAAAACTTAGTATTCAATTTAAATTAACTTCAGTAAGTTAGCCAATAATTAAATACTCTTCTTTCAAAATGTTCAATCGAATTACTATCCTTGTTACATTATCGTTAATATTTGCAATTTCGAATGCACAAATACGTTCACGTATAGTTGGAGGAGATTTTGCTAAAGATGGAGAATTCCCATATCAAATCTCTTTACAATTGAATCAAAATCATATTTGTGGTGGTTCAATCATTGGTCCAAAACATATATTAACAGCAGCCCATTGTGTAGTTCGTTCAGATGGTGTTCTGTAAGATAAAATTAAAATTTTTCTCTTTTTAATAATCAATTTTCACAAATACCTATAAATAAAATTTGAAATTTATTCATATATACAATTTAAAAATTTGTAGTCGTCCTGTTAATGCAATGTCTATCCGAGCTGGTACAAATGTTATAGGTGTTGATGGTCAAGTTAGGCAAGCGGAAGCAGTTTATGTACATGAAAAATATAGAATGAATTTAAATGATGTTGCAGTAATTAAACTTTCTAAACCATTAGAGTATAATTCAAAAATTCAAGAAATTGAAATGGATAGAGGTGATGCTCCAGTTGGTGCTATTGTTACTATTTCAGGTTGGGGTAAAACTGCGAATGATGGTAGAAGATCTGAAGTTTTAAAAACTGCAACCTTAAAAGTCTTATCAATTGAGCAATGTGATAAAAAGAGTGGATTAGGTTTTAAACAAACTATATGTTTGGATCATCCGGCGGGTATTGGTGCTTGTCAAGGTGATTCAGGTGGTCCAGCTACATATAATGGAAAATTGATAGGTGTTGCAAGTTTTGTAGCAAAAACATGTGCTTCTAACAAACCTGATTCATACGCTAGAGTTTCTTTGTATTACGATTGGATTAAGGAAAAAATGTCTTTGTGAACAAGTGAAAAATAAAAATATAATTTTTGTACAAGATAAAACTGAAGTTGAAAGAAGCAATTGAAACAGTATTCATAATATTTTCAATTTGCCAAAAACCTTATTTGAACTAGAAAAACAGAAAATTAAGTAGAAGGGGTTTACTTCTCTTATTTGATTTATATTCGCTAGTCTTCAATATTTAAAATTTCTAGTTGTGATTAAAATCCTTGTAATTGAAGCTAGGTTAAAGTTGTAGAAATTCTACCTGAAAACTGATAAAGAAGTAGGAAACAAAATTCTTCCCTCTCAGTAATCATTTTTTTTTTTTTTACATTCAAATATTAAAATTTTTTCAAAAAGATTTAATTTTTAAACCAATAAAAATTTTTGTTATGTAATATTTTCAAGTTGTAAATATGCTCCCTATACTTCGGACATAATAAACACTTGTGTCAATATAATATATAAATGACATTCTTATCTAATTTTGAAAACTTTTGACAAGTAAAATGTAAAATGTTATAAAAGCTACTCTTCTCGTTAATTAAAGATGTAGTATTTCATTTAATCAGATTTCAATAGGTCCATAATTGAATATTACAATAATGGTTGGCAATATTGTTTATATTTTATTATCAGTAGCATTCTCAATTGTAAATGCTCAAATAGGTTCTCGTATTGTTGGAGGAGAATTTGCTAAAGATGGACAATTTCCATATCAAATTTCCTTACAATTAAGGAAAAATCACATTTGTGGTGGTTCAATTATTGGGCCAAGACATATTTTAACAGCAGCTCATTGTGTAACTTGGTCGGATGGAAGCTTGTAAGATATTTTTTCTTATAATTTTACACTCATGAGGAAAAATTTTTTAAGTAAACTAAAATTATAAAATTCTAGAATTTCAGCTGATTCATTTTTTATTCGAGCTGGCACAAATATTTTAGGTATTGATGGTCAAGTAAAACAGGCCCAAGAAGTTTATGTGCATGAAAAATATAGAATGAATTTAAATGATGTCGCAGTTATTAAACTTGCAGAACCATTAGAATATAATTCAAAAATTCAAGAAATTGAAATGGATAAAGAAGATGTTCCAGTTGGTGCAGTTGTAACAATTTCAGGGTGGGGTAAAACAGCACACGGTGGTAAAAGATCTGAAGTTTTAAAAACTGCAACTTTGAAAGTCTTATCAATTGAGCAATGTGATAAAAAGAGTGGATTAGGTTTTAAACAAACTATATGTTTAGATCATCCAGTTGGTACTGGTGCTTGTCAAGGTGATTCAGGTGGTCCAGCTACATATAATGGAAAATTGATAGGTGTTGCAAGTTTTGTAGCAAAAACATGTGCTTCTAACAAACCTGATTCATATGCTAGAGTGTCTTTGTATTATGATTGGATTAAAGAAAAAATGTCTTTGTAAAAATAAGAGAAAATGTTAATAAAGAAAAAAATAATATCAAAAGAAGATAAGTTGAAAAGTATAAAAATAGTGTCTGACTTTAAGCACTCTCTTAGACATATTTTCATTGAAAATTGATAAATTTAAATAAAAATGTCGCAACAGACGCCTAACTGATTCAAACTTTCTGTTGTACACGAATTTAGCCTATATATGAAAGTTAGAATTATAGGAGAATTGGCTGAAATCGTCAACTCACCTAGCATAGTGACATATGTTAACAAAAGCTTATTCCTTCAATCAGAGATGACATAAAATCGAGCCCCACATATAGAAAGTATAAAAAAAGAGAAAAAATAAAGGATTGAGTTCACTATATTATCAGGTACTACGCCCTAATAATCATGGTAATTACCGAATTAACACCACTGCATTTAATGTTATGAAAATATAATTATATTACTGTTATAATAGGAGCACTAGCAGTATATTGTCAAATTTTAGCTTATCACACAATGTTTATACAATCTGTTTTGATTGTTTATATTATCTTATGTCTTCTTAATTAAAATTATTTTCAAACTGTACTCTAAATATGAATGTATCTATGTATCCAAGAAAAAGGTAAATATTTTTAATTGTTATACTAATTATTTGTTGGTATAATTAAATTTTATATTGTATAATTTGATTTTATTGAATTCTTTGGAAGATACTTGAAAAAAAAAAATTTGAAAAACTATAAAAGGCACTCAATTGATTTTGAAAATTTAGTACTTTATTTGATCTGACCTCCAAAACTTAATAATTGAATACTTAACAATTGATTCCTGCAAAATGTGTAGCAAAATTATTTATCTTGTCTTATTAGGAATAGTAGCGGTTACAAATGCTAGAATAAATCCACGAATTGTTGGTGGTGATATTGCGTTGGAAGGACAGTTTCCGTATCAAATATCCTTACAATTGAATACAAATCATATTTGTGGCGGTTCAATTATTAGCCCAAGACATATTTTAACAGCCGGTCATTGTGTTACTTGGTCGGATGGAAGTTTGTAAGATTAAATTTAATAAATTTATTGAAATATTTATTTTATTACAAAAATACATGTATATGTGTCATGATACTGTTTTAGAATTTCTGCTGATTCAATTTCTGTTCGAGCCGGTTCAAATATTATAGGAGTTGATGGTCAAGTACGACAAGCTCAGGAGATTTACCTTCATGAAAAATATTCTCGTTCATTAAATTTAAATGACGTTGCAGTTATTAAACTTTCTGAACCATTACAATATAATCCAAAAATTCAAGAAATTGAAATGGATAAGGAAGATGCTCCAATTGGTTCAACTGCAACTATTTCTGGATGGGGTAAAACCGCAAATGATGGTAAAAGATCAGAAGTGTTGAAATTTACAACTCTTGTTGTTTTATCAATGGAACAATGTGATAAAAAGAGTGGATTAGGTTTTAAACAAATTGTATGCTTGGATCATCCAGCTGGTACTGGTGCTTGTCAAGGTGATTCAGGTGGTCCAGCCACTTATAATGGAAAATTGATAGGTGTTGCAAGTCTAGTAGCAAAAACTTGTGGATCTAATAAACCTGATTCATATGCTAGAGTTTCTTTGTACTACGATTGGATTTTAGAAAAAATGACATTATAAAAATGAAAATATAAGCGTGAAAATTGAAGTTGAAAAAATAAAGAATTTTCGGATTTCTTAAATTATTTTATGAGAAAGGAATTGTATAATAATTTTTCGAAAATATTTTGCCATTATATGTAATTTGTTCACATTCAGAGGGGGTGCTCAATGTTATTTTTTTAATGACATGAAATTCTTAACTTTAATTTAATATTTATAGCCAATTTATGAGATTAAACCTTAGTTTATTTTACAATAGTCATAGTTAAATGTTATAGAATCATATAGAAAACTGTATGTAAATACTATTAATATCTCTATGAAATATTTTTCGTGATTTGTTCTCACATTTTATTCATTCATAAGAACTCAATAATTAGATTGAGAAAATTCAATGATTCGTGATTGAATTATAGCAAATTGCTTTTCGAAAAAAGAAGATTTTCAGGATCCCAATTTGTGACTCGATTCTGATTCTTCTTTGTTAACCATTTACGTTTAAAACAAAAGTTACTTAAAAGCTTAATAATTTGATAATTAAAGAAAATTTGATAATTGTCATGAATAGTATAACAATTTTCATATTTATGTATACAGAACCATTTGTCAAATTTGGCGATTTATTATTTATACAGTTTGTTTTGTTTTTTTATTTATATTTCGTGCTAACCTACTCGTATATGTAGTTGTAGCTAATATTATCAAAATTTAAATAATGCTCACATAATAAAGTAGTACTTAAAAAATTTTTTGAATTTTTCAAGAAGACTTATAAACATAAAGGAGAATGGTTATTCTGCATGATTTTTGTGATCACTAATACATTATAGAATGTGGCAATATATGATAGAAATTCATGAGAACAACAATTTGGGTGATATTTAAACAAATCCGGATATTTGAGCAAATAATGAGTTAAAATTATTTTTCACTGCTTTAAATTATATTGACTTAATTTTAAAAAAATACACTGTTTTCTTAAATTGTGCAATTTAAGAAAACAGTGTATTTTACATTTGTATACACCTATCATTCGCCTACATGCAACTAGTTCCGTATGTGCTGCAATAAAAACAAAATAAGTTTTAAGTGTAAAGCTGTAAGAAAAAATTACCAATTCAAAATTGCACTTAATTATAGAAATTGCATTTTTAAAATAAATATGTAATTTAAAATGAAAACTTTTTAGATAAGTTTACAATAGTTGTTTACCTCACATTATACAAGTAGATAAATTTTATTAAATTAGAATTTTGCAATTTAGTAGGCGTAGCGAATCAATTGCACATTTTTGGCATTTTGGCATTACCCCATCCTGTAAATTCATAAACGAAATAATATACAAAAAAGTGTTTTTTTTTCTAACTTGTGTTTACCTTGAATTTTATGCATTATTCCAATTTATTGCCAAAGTCAAGTCTGATACTCTGAATACAGTTCTTCTTTATTTTTTCTGGCCATGTAAACTAATTATTTATAGCGCACAATATATTCTTTTTGGCTATTTTTCACTGTTTCTATTCAAAAATAAAGTGTGTACCGATTCAAAATTTTTAAAAATCGTGTTTAAGCTTTTTTTTCTTTTATGTATTTGGTGCTGCATGACTTTAGGTAAATTGGCTACTAGAGGCATTTCGAATTTTTTGTTTTAATTTTTTTAATTTCCAAATTGTTTTCAACAATCGGCTCACAAATTGTTATATGTAAATTAATAAAAGGTTAGCGCTAGCTATACCGAGTTGGCTCCAGCTCTCCACTGAGTGTAGTTCAAAAAACTAGAAGAAAATTATATTTAAAACTTATTACTTATTAAAATTTACAAAGTTACTAATAAACTCTTACATTATTATTTCATCAAATCTTGCAATATGTTGAATATTTACAGAATATTTATTGATATCATAAGTATAAAATTTAATAAAACTAGCGGAATTGAGTAGAATTAAAAACTATTTTCTTCTGTCATTTTATGTCATAAAGTATAATATGACAGACAAAATTAAAAAACTGTCTATTCACGGGTTTTCACAACTTGCGTTAATATACATAAGTATATGTAATTTATATATGTATGTCAATATATAACAGAAACAGTGTGCAGATATGCGTATTCAAAAAACAGATGTTATAATTTTCAATTAACATTTTATAATTATAAAAATTAATTAATGCAAATTAAACTACAAGATTAATTAAATTTTTAATTTTAAACATTTAATTTATATTTAATTCTATAATTAAAATATTAAGATATTTTATAATTAAATTAATTAATTTAAAATATATATATGAATATATATATAGATTAATTAAAACATTTTTTATAATATTATACAAGTTGTACACCTGTGTTAAGATTTTTTAAAAGAATAATATTTCTAACATTTCTTTGGCATTATTAATAATTAATTTTTATTTATGATGTTGAAAAGTGATGTAAAAATTATGTAAATCTAATGGTAATTGGATTTTTTCTTTACTACTTAATTTAAATTAAGAATTTACATTTTGCATATTACTGATTAAGAATTAAAATATTTTTACATTAAGAAAATTTTTATTGTATACAGTTGCTAATGTTAATTAGTCAATTTCGTGAACAAAAATGAATTTTTATACAGAAATTTTACATAAAATACGAGTATTACATACAATATAAAATTCTACCATTTTGAAATGAAAAGTATAGAGTATTAGTTATCACCTATATTATACTTATAGGAAGATCATACAATGTATCCAAAGGAAACTCTGTCTATTGTAATGCAATCTGCTTGAATGCTCTGTCTAATGTAATGCAATATGCGTTTGAATTAGTTTTAACTAATTATTTATGGATTGCAATTTAAGGGTTGTTTTCATTACATATTATAATTTTCAAGAAAATTTTCTGTAATATGCCAGTCCCCTCGTCATAAGAGTCTGGGCCAACCGCTTAAGAATCACTGATAAAACTTTAACCGTTTGAGTGCCAAATATTTGCATATTTTTACCTCAAAATGTCGTGTAAAAAATGACTTTAAAAAAAAAAATCATTTTCTAAAAACTTCTAAATTTTCATCGATAATTAACCGATTTTCTTGATTTTTTCTGTGTTTTTTTGAAGAGTTATAGTAGTTATTGAAATAAAGTAAACAATATAATGAACACAATATTTTATTTAGAAAAAAAAAGAAAAAAAAAAACATGAAATAAAAAAAATTAACAATTGCGTTTTCCTGAATATTCGGTGTGCACCCCTTTCTTACACCGAATGCAGTTGATCGACGTAGTCCCGTACCATCCTTGTGACTACAGACCACACAGCGACACATCATTACTTTGGTCAGTATAATCATCTCTCGAACTATCACAAGTTTCAGACGAGAAATTTCGCGAAGTATTTGACCGCGATATTTTACGTATAAGAATCGTTGAATATCAATAAAATAAAATATTATTTGCAAAAAAATATGTACTTCAAAGAATAACACGAATTAGGTTTACGGTGTGAAGAAAAAACACGATTGGTAAATGCGCATTGTACGCGGGAGCGTGTGTGGGAAGTGACGCCTGCGGAATCGACGATTATCGACGATCGGCACTCTAACGGTTAATATATAATATAGAACATATGAATTTAAAATTATAACACCACAAAACATTTATAATCATTTAAATTTTTACACTTGCTTTTAACGTTCTTCCAATAATTGCATTTAACAAAGAAAATTAATAATATGACAAGTTAATTTGATATCATAAGCATAAATATTTTCTACAATAGCAAAGTAAATGATCACAGTGCATACCAAATAAATTCTTTTGAATACAATTTTAATATACCTATAAATATATACTATATATACTTATATACAGGCATATGTTATTTAATCTGTATAAATAGTTAAATATTTCACAATGCATTTTATATGTAAAGTTCCTATATTAAGTACTTAAGTGTATAACTTCGTTTGTGTTATATGACGTATATACATATGCATATATAGTTGCAGAAATGGTAAATTTTGAGGTCATTGATTTTTTCATTTACGCTTATCATATACAGGATAAATGAGAAAAGCAAAAAAATAAAATATTGAAAAATCTGTTATTTTTCGATGATGGTATAACAAGTGCATAAGGTTGTTTCAAATACCCAAACAGTATCTAATTTAATGCAGAACATTTTATGTTCGGTTGTATATATTAAAATGACTTCTGCCGAACCAGTTTAGAATTATTAATTTTCTTTCATTATATATTTTAAAGGCATCTTGTCTTGACATATTATACATATACAACATTGTATAATATTCTATTTAAGTATACCTTCATACTATAATATTATTATTATTATTATTTTTTTATAAAACTAGAAATCCTATTTCTAGAGAATATTATTGAATAACTTCGAAAGAACATGATCTTTAAAACCTATACCATATACTCGTAGTATAAAATGTGAAATAGTGTAAAAATTTTCTAGATTATTTATTATCTAAAGTAATTATATTATATACTAAACTCTTGTATGTACAAACGTATATAATGTTGAAATAAATTATATTTCTATAAAAGAGGATAAAATTAGATTTCATATAACCAAAAAAAGACTAGAGAAATTCCTTGAATTTGATGCATTTTTCATTTTGTTTTCTTATAATATAATTTATACTTTTATGTGTGTGTGTATGTGAGAGCAAGTATGTCGATTAATTTGTACGGCAATTCATTTATTTTTCTTTTGATTTTTCTGTTTTTTTTTTTTGTATGAAAAGAAGTTTAAAATTCAGGAAGAAAAAATTGTTTTAATTTATATTGTGATGTTTATAACTTGTATTACATTTTACTTATAGAATAAGTTCAGTATAACTTGTTATTATTGTTTATAACACAAAAGAAATTCTGCATAAAAAATTTATTAAAAAATAAGAGCAAGAGACTGTTAATAAATATGGAAGTAATTATTATAATAATGATTTCCTTTTTCTGTCATCTCTATTGTTAATATTGAAATCTATCTAATTATTAAGTTACTCTAAAGGTTAAATAGGAGACTGCAAATATATTGCTTTCAAATTAGCTTATATA